ATTATATATATTTTTAGTAAATATTATAATAGCAACTTCCCATTTAATTTATATTCAAGATTTATATAAATAGATATTAATCATTATTGAATATATTCTAACAATAAATATGGCAGAATACACTGTCTATCATGTATAATATATGTTAATATTAAAATTAAAAATAATAATAAAAATCTGAACTTGATATGTTTCCTTATATGAAAAAATTTTATAAGATCAAATAAACAATGCATTAATAGTGAAATATGAAAATTAGAAATAATTCAAACAAAATTTTCAATAAAGTACTACAGAATTTTTGAGAAATATAATACGATGACGTTTCATATTTTTATGTTCCCTATCATATAATAAAAGTAAATAATAAATGAAACTTAAATTAACAATTAGAATTATAGGCTGTAATATTTTTATTTTTTTATTAACAACACAAAGAACACATATGTCTACTTTTTTCAATATTAATGGCAAATCTATTATCAATATCTATAATTAATTCCTTTTATAAAGACTAATATATAAATATAAAGAAAAAGAAAATTAATATATGTTTTTTATATTATTATGCATAATAAAAATAAATTAATTATTATGCATTTCAATAAATATTAAAATAAGTGATATCATAAATAATATTCAAACAAAATATATGGATACTCGTAAGATTTTTATGCATTGAAGATTTTATAAATAATTGGTATGTATAAAACAAGTTCTTAAAAATATCTAATTACCCGTAATTAAGTACGTTGCTTGAAAATGTAAACAATGTAATATATGAATAGTCTAATAAATAAAAATCCTTTGTTATATACTATTAGAAATATTAACAATAATAATAATAGAGAAAAATATGCTGCTGATATATTTCGTATTGTATAAATATTTGTTTATTTTGTGATGAATAAAAATATATCAAAAATTGTATACTGTCTTAGGAATATTATTCAGAATAAAATTATATTAAATTATCATTTAACTAAGCAACGGTACATAATAGTAAACATATTGTTATATTTGAAGAGTTTTGTACAATTTCCTTTTTAATCTATGGTTATACAATATTAATTTTGATGTTTATTTAAATTCTGTTGACAAAAATTAATAGAAATATTAAAATTATGAAGAAATTTTAGAATAGATAAACAAATCTAAATATAAATTAAATTAGAGATAGTCTAAATAACCTATTTAGGGAAATAAGAGGTGCTATAAGCAGAGCGAGGAGGACAGCTTTAGATATAGAGGTGTGCCAAGGATAGGCTCAATTTTATTCAGACGTATGGGAATAGTTTTTATTTTTTAAGCTTTTATAATAATAATAATTGAATTCATTTTTTATAAAGTAATAATTAAATTTAATTCATTAGATATATTTGTTATAATATCAATTTTACCTATAACTATGAATGAGATATATATATTAAATGACTTTTGCATAATGATATCACAATTCATGTTATTTTTAGTATACACCAATTGTTTAATTATTGTGGAAAAAGCTAAAAAAAATTAATTATAGTATTAATATAATGGATTCTTTTGAAAGTAGATACGATAATATTAAAAAGGCATGAAGTTATGTAAATCTCAGTAGAATATTAATAATAATATAATAATAGTAAATTAATTAATGTTGTTTTATAATATAATTACTTTGACTGACATTTTGTATGAAAATAAATAATTATACTTAAAATATAATCTGTATATATAAATATTGGTATTATAAGCATTACTGGAGTATTTATAATATAGAATGAATACATAAAAAAAAAATTTTAAATATTACAATATAATATGCAATAATTATAATACATGTATTAAATTAACAATATATGAAAATAAATCTACAGATATAATATAATATGAATACATATATGAAATAAAATGAACTCAGATTTAATATAAATATTGTGTTCATAATATACAATTTGTGAAATGTACTAACTTATTATTAGATATACTTAAAAAATATGGTGAATTATTACATTAAAAAAGTAAAAATAATAAACGCATAAGAATAGTGCAATATATAAAACAATATCTAGATGATAAAATAAATCTTATAAATAAATGTAAAAAAATATATTTTCGTTATTTTATTGTGAATAAATCCTAATATATGATTGTTCCCAAAATGTTAATGAATTAAAATACTTCTACTTTTACACATTATTATAAATATAGATAAATAATAATATTAAAAATAGGGTTTTTTGTTCATCTAATAACTAGCATAATTTTGAATATTATATAATTATTATTATAAATTCTAGCAATAAATGCATATTCATTAAGTTTAACCAAAAATAAATTTATCCGATTTTTGGTAGGATAATATAAATGACGTTAATAAATATGATATTTAAATGATATTATTATATTAATTAATAATATTATTGTTAGAGCACATATATATTTATATTATGTAATCATTATATTATTTAAATTTATTTTTTAACATCCTGGCACATATAATATTTTGTACACTCATTTATCTTATATATAAAGAAATAAGTTGTACAATTAAATAATCTATTTAATATGTGTTGTTATAAATATAGTGTGTATACTACTATTGGAACAGAATATATGTATGTATTAATATACGCTATTGTATATATTAGCTTTATACATAATAACTAGATATAGAATAAATAATTTCATTAAATTAATTGTAATGTAATAATAAAATATAAAGTAATAAAAAAAAAATTCTGTAAATATAATAATAATATATATATAGAAAAACGTTTTAGAAAAAATTTAAATAAATGCTTCACAATAATGTGCTATATTATTTTCAATTATTTTGCTAATATATCATGGAGATATATACTCTAATTAAAAAATAATATTTAATGATTATCAATAGTATAAATATATATGTATACAATTTAGATAATCAATAAAATTTTTTTACAATTTTAATATTTTACAATAAGTATTCCTATTTATTATTTTGGACTCCATTAAAATAGTGAGTATCTATTTTAATTTTTAAAAATTCTACATATTTATATGCACTAGATATATACTACTTTTTTTATATTTACACTCTGAGAATGTATAATTGTTTTGCAAAATATTAAGGTATTCATTTTATTGTTATCATGCTTTGTTTTTTCCTTTTCTTTTGTTTACATTATATTAATTGGAAAAAAATATAAAATGTTTATATAATACTTGCATTAGTTACACACATATGATTTCGTTAAAAGGAAACTATAACATTCATTATGCTTTCTATTTTATTTCGAAAAAACTATTATATTTTATATATATATATATATATTTGCTATCAGATAAATGATATTCGAATATTATAGTATAACTTTTCTCCAAGAGCTATTGTTTTGTTTTGTGAAAATTATTGTTTGTTTGAACGCTCAATGCTTGTATATCCTAGCTATTATTATAATGTACCGCAAGTTTATTAAATAAGGAAATGATATATATGTATTTAATTTATTCTATTTTTATATAGTAATGATGCTTATGCTTCAATTTGTATTAATAAATCAAAATTGATTTTTCATATATTATGTAATTTTACTAGGTATTCTAAATATTCCTTATTATATTATCATAATACATCATATAAATATAATTAAATTTATTTTTTACAGCATTTCAAATGTTATATTGTGCCTGTTAACGTAAAATATATTAGACATAGTAACTGAAATAACTCATTTTTTTAATTATAGCCAACTTAGCTATATGCTATTTTATACTTATCATGAAATGAATACATAAAGTCCAGATTATTATTCTTATTTTTATTCAACTTTCTTGTTAATTTCCATACACTTGGTTTTATAAATGAAAAATAAGAGGTATACTAAAAAAAAAATTATATAATATTTATATTTATTGTTCATTTATATGTATTTTTTTAAAATATTTTTAAGATAAATTATAAGACAAAATTAATTCATTGTATTTATTTTGTTATTAACCTTATACAAAATAAATATAATTATTAATATTGAAAAAGTTATAAAAATTATTCCAACACTTATTCCTGTGTGTGTATCACCTCCTGTCATCGTGTCCATTAAAGGTTGAAATTCTAATGCTTCTGTTTGCGCTATTACATTATTTATTACCTTATCTGACCCGTTCTTCATAAAAGTTTGATCATTTAAATTCTGGATTTTCATTCTTCTTGTTTTCATCCATGAATCAGTCAGGAGCTTTGCGGCATGTATTCTAGGAGATAACGTCCAAGAATTTATATAGCCTTGACATATTTCAATAATTTTTTCGAGTTCTGCCTTTAGTCGGCGTTTACTTTTACAATCGTAATTTTCTAAATGTTCAATTTCCCCTTTGAATAATCGCATTTTTCCTGTGTCGCTAACTTGGGGATTTTTAAAAAGATCAATGTAGTAATATATTTTAAACAAATAATTCAATAGTTCAGATGTATCTTGTTCAATATTTCCCGAATATTCCATACATATATTAGATATTTTTGTCTCGAATGTACTTCGTTTTTGTTCTATCATTTTCTTATAGCATTCATTAGGTTCATTACATTTTAATTCAAAATTAGGTATTAGTTCTTTTTCTAGTTTATAATAGAATAATTCACAACATGATTTTACATCAATATCATTACTTCTACGTTCTAAATGATTTAAATATAAGCCTAGAACACGACATAATTTCGAAAATTGAGTAGTATCACGACCATGAGATACTTGATTATAAAAATCACTACATAAAATTGTGAAATTATGAGCGTCACTTTCACGCCTAGTTGCTTCTTTATCCCATGTGAAATCCTTACTACATGTGGGAAATATTCCCTTAATATCGAACTAAAAATGTATGTCATAATATATGCAAAATTATAAAAATTTTAAGAAAAAATAACGGGAGATACTTTTAATTAAATAAGATAATTTTAAATTAAATTCACATATATTAATTTTAATAGACAATAATCATACTTCTTCATTCTCTGATTTAGTTTCCACCATTATATTATATATATACTGTACAATAAAAAAATAAGTTATATACTTTATATAATAATTTTTTTTGTGTAAAGGATATAATAATAAATATCATATTCATATTATATATAATAACGAATATTATGTTTCTTAATACTATATATTTTATAATAAATTTATACATTAATTAAATTATTAATTTTTTTAATACCGTGTTAGTATTATTCAATCTAGACAAAGCAATGTATTTTTAAAAAATAAACATAATATGAAAAATAAATTAATATAGTTAGATATATATAATAAAATCAAAATAAACACTATATTATTAATAACATTATGTATATAACACCACTTCTATAATATTCTCAATTCATTTAATAATTTAAATTTTATAAGTAATATCGTAAATATTTTTATTATTAATTATTTATTTTATGTCCTTAATTATAATGTATATATATGTACATTCATGTACCTAAAAAATACCTTACTTCAAATCATATGGTTACTAATTTATACTTCTGCATATATTTTATTTGCTTACGTTTTTTAAATATTTTCATTTTATCAATTATTATCTCGGTATTACGATTACTTTTTTATATTTTATAATGGGAATGCAAGGCTATAATATATCTTAATTTATATGCATCATATTTTTAACAAGATAAATGCAAATTGTAAATTGTTTATTATCATATAAAAATTAATATGAGTATATACTATATTTTAAATAAAACATTTTTATTTTATATATATATAATTACTTATAAATTTATTATTTATAGAATATATTATGTTATATTTATATTGATGAAATATTCAGAATATATACAAAAAATAATTTAAATGTATAATTACATGTTCTAAATTATATAGACATATTGTTTTATCTTTTTATTGAATTATTATTTTTTCAATTATGTAATGTAATACTTTAATAATATATTCATCTAATAATTACGAATCTTTGGTATATAGATTGACTATATATATTTATTCTCTTATATTATATATTCATTGTATAACTAATTTGTTACATTGTGTCATTAACTTATTAATTTTTATTTTTCTGCCTCTAAGTAAATTTAAATTATTCTTGATCGATAGGCCATGCATATTCATTTTATTGCGGAATAAAGGAATTCATTCTATTATTTTTGCTATGTATTAATAAAAAATTAATAAGAATTTTAATATTTTTATGCTATTTTCTAATTTAATTCACATTGTAATCATTTAAAAAACTTGCTTCATATTTTGTTTTAATTATTTATTAAAAAAAGCAAAAATACCTCATATAATTTGTGCTCCTAATAAATATTTCTCAAAATATGATGTAATAATTAAATGCCTGTGTATTTAATTCTTTGTGTTAATAATATTTATGAAATAATTATTTACACATTATAAATTTTTTAAAATGATATAAATAAATAGTATATTAAAAATGTAAATCCTATTTATAAAATTTTATAGAGCTTTTTATTATATATTTGAGTAATTTTAATATTTTACACTATTTTAAAATACACATCATTTGCAATTTATTGCATATGTTATATATTCTTAGTGCTTCATTTGCATATTATTAATTAAATATTGTTATAATCATAATAATAAGATATTAGTGAATTATTTCTTTCATATATCTCACATAATATGATCATAAATTTATTACAATAATGAGATAGGTGAATATTCAAAATTAATATATTTTTTTATAAAATAATTATATGTAGAAATGAATATATATATTATTAAATTATTTATCATAATTACATAAAAGTAATGTTTAAAATAATTCCATATAAATTTTATATTATCTCATTTCCAAAATGAGTGCATAATAATCTATATCACATGAGCGTAAAATAATAATATATAACCATATTAAGGTATGAAAAATGTAACATATATAAATGAATGTGATAAATAATTTTATATTACATACCGTATAATTTATATAAAAATATAATTCTTTATAACTTATAAATGTATTTATTTCTTTTATCATAAAATTATTGGTTCCATTATTCAACTTCTATCTAAAAGGTTCATCAAGGTGAATGCTCATTTATTTGTATATTTGACCTGTCCTTTTTTTGAAATGTTTATATATATTTAATTCTATAAACATTCTCTCATTTCGTTTTTATGACATTATTTATTTTTATTCAACGTGTAAAAAATTAAGTGGTATACCTAATCAGAAATATAAAATTTAGTATATTGTTTATATTAATCTATATTCTAATAAAGGTGGTATGAATATTGTAATATAAAGCACTAGTATGCTATAATTATAATTTTGTGATACTGAATACATATAAAATCATGAACACTACCATATATATTTAATGTAATTATGTTATGTGGATTATTATATTGAAAACTAAATATTTTCATGAATTCTTCATTTACGAATGTTTTATTTACAAAATATATATTTTGAGTCATAATATTTATATGCACTATCCTTTTAATATTTGTTAATGAATTTTCTTTTAATTAATCCTGAGGTGTATTTTGTTTTATTATATGTTTCAGGATTTTTGGTTATCTTCTTATAAATAAGCATTCTCGAATTTTAAGGAACATTTTATTTGTTCATGAAAATATTAACACTATTACGTGTTAAATGAAGTATACTTTTATTTTCTAATTAATCATTCATTTTATTCTATATGAAATATATATTCACATATAATTTATCAGTTTCATAATGATTTTTATTGTACATTACATTCATGTTCACAACTATGTAATTATTAGAAATAAAAATTTATTATTAATTATTAATAAATCTTCAACTTGTCAATTTCAAAAAGTTATATATAATAAAAAAAATTTTGTTACAATTCATGAATTTAACCATATTTTTAACGATGTATGCTATTTTTTTAATGATGCTTAATACAATATTACATACAAAATTAATTTTATTATCATAATGTGAATATGAGATAAAAGAATTATTTATATTATGAATATTTCTTCTATTAAATAGTACTTTATTTGATAAAACGCAAATAAATTAAGTACATCCCAGAAAATTAGTATCATAGATAGTGCAATGATCATGTAGATGTTCATTTTTCTCATAAATAATATCCAGAGATAATTACTTAGTTCATAGTAATACCTGATCTCCTACATAATATTTTATTTTCCCATAGAACTTTTTTTAATGAAATTAATGTTCTTCCCTGAATCTTATGAAATAAATTCTTAAAGACAATCTAAGAGAAATATATATTTTTTTCTTATTCCTTGTATTGAAACTATAATTGTCCAATGTATATATGGTATTGATATTAACTGATGTATACACTTGTATAGTTTTATATTCTGTATAATTACGACAATTAATAATCCTATATAAATAATTTATCCTTGTGATATTTTTCTTAGATATTATTATTAACATCAAACCTTAGGTGAAGAATTATTTGTGCATATGTACAAGGAGTATTTGTAAAAAATAGTTCCTCTGTATGATCCTGCACAAAGATTAAGTATGATATACTAAATTTTTTAATGATATATTAAACAATAATGATATACATATAAAGTTATATATATAATTAATTTAAAATTTAGTTAAACGATATATAAAAGTACATTTTATTAATAATAAACAGATAATAAATATACATATCCTCCTTACATTTTAATATAATTTACTAATTATAATGACATAAATAAAATTCTCTTAACATTTAAAAGAAATGATGTAATACGAAAAATATTTTTGTCTTTATTATCATATGTTCATTATTTTTTATTTAGATCATGGTCTCATAGGTCCTTATTGAAATAAGGTTATATTTTTTAATATTAAAATATAAAGCAGATATTGTTTGTTTAAAAAAATATTGTAATATTCAATTAAGTGTGTATTATTAAAATGTTAATTGAGCATACTTTTCTACATAATTGTCGTATTATATTAATGATTATTCCTAATTATATTATTAAAATTATGCACTTCTTGTTATTTCTCATGATATATGTATATTTCAAAATTATTTTTTAAAAGTTTTTTATATAAAATTTTATCTTCTATTATTTATATGTATCAATATATTACATATACAATCTACATAAATACATGCATTATTACAAAATATATTTTAAAATAATTGTTGTTTCTTAATATATATTTATTCAATATATTAAAAAAAATAACCTAATCTTTTGTAGGGACTTTGTTTTTGTATTTTTATTAGATCTATTACAGCTTGAATTTATTATATCAATCCAGTTATATCTTCAACGAAGTATTTTTTTTTTCTTAATTATTTTAAAAAATTATAAATACAATTAAGTTATATAGTGTTGTGTACAAAGAGAAATATAATATTAAGTCCACTAATGTATGTGGAATAATTATACAATACAAGCAATTCATTGAACTATTAAACAACACTTGATAATTTAATTAGAAAATTCCATTTATGTTGTACATATTAAATAAGGAAAATACTAGTAATAATATAATAACAGAAAATTGATGTGAAATTTAAAATAATATGTTTTGTCTATAGACGGAAGATAGCAGTTTATATTTATATTTTTATATCATATGTGATTCTAACATAATATAAAAATTTACTTTTTCAGAAGAATAATTTATATTTATTCCTTTGTGTACCCATTTATACAACCACTATACATATATCAAAACTAGTTTCATTTTAACATATCATATATTATTCAGTTTATTTAAAAACATTTATTTTAATACAATGTAAAATTATTAAATTTTTATATTTCTTAAAACTACATACTATCAAGCTATTGATAATATTTAAGGATTGCCTAATCTTCCAAATTGCAAAAATCCTTAATTCTTCCTTTTCAAAATATAAATATGTATTAACTACTCACTTGTAAAATTATCTCACAAATACAATTATGTAAATTCTTGAATTCAGTAACTACTAAAGGGTTGTTATTGTAAATGATTTTAAATCAGATAAAGCGTGTATATTAT